CTCCCTCCTGTTTCCCACACACCAGAGCAGCGGAGGTGGGCCGGGTGTGAGGGAGGACTTGATGGAGGGTACTGACCACTGGAGTGGATGATTCTGGAAGATCCTTCAATAGACCCTTGCCCTTCTGAGCCGGGGAAGGGCGATGAGTACTGGAGGCAGGTGAGGGCCAGGTACTTGATGGCCTGAGGCTTGCAGGCCACCCACAAATGGAGTTTCCCATATTCCTGGCTCCCTGCTGTTTCCCACACACCAGAGCAGCAGAGAAAGCAGAGCCTGGAGCCCATCTGTGAGCATGGCCTGGGGCGGGTGAGGTGGGAGCAGCAGCTGCCCGCTTTGCTGCATAGGGAAGATGAAGATGGGACCTTGGGGGAGAGGCAGCCCCTGCTAGAGTGAGCCTGGCATCTGCAGGCGTCTTTGACAGCTCAGGCTGCCATGATGAAATGCCATAGGTCGGATGGCTTAAACAACGGACATGTCCGGGGCCTGGACGGCTGAGATCATGATCTGTTTCTGGTGAGGACTCTTCCCGGCTTGTATGACTGTCTCTCGCTGTGTGCTCACATGGCAGGGACAGGGAGAGCAAGCTCTCCTGCGTCTCTTCTTGTGAGGACATGCATCTCATCACGAGGACCCCACCCTCATGACCTCATCTAGACATAACCACCTCCAAAAGACCCCACCTCCAAATACCATCACCTTGGAAGAGGACAACTTAGAGCTCCAAAATATGAATTTGGGGGTGTGCACAGCAGCAGAATTAGATCATCCATTCCTCTCCCAGGAGATAGGACTGCATAGCTAAATTAGTGAATGCTAAGAAATGGCAGTGACCATGTATACATTTGGCACTAGCTAAATGCTCAATGATTGGGGACTGTGATTTAGAGCTTTTCCACATGAAGCAGGAGCCACCTGGGAGGAAGATGAAGGCGGATGGTGTATGGAGGTTGGTATTTTCAAAACACCAAATCGAAATACTTGCTCTGACAACAACAACAAAGTAAAATACTGGGATCTTATTTATCTGAAAAGCCTTATGACAGTTAAGAAGAATTCATCTTGGGTTATACATTCAGCCAATCTTCATTTAAAGCAAAACCAGAAAAAACTGCTAAGAAATGGCAGTGACCATGTATACATTTGGCACCAGCTAAATGCTCAATGATTGGGGACTGTGATTTAAAGCTTTTCCACATGAAGCAGGAGCCACCTTGGAGGAAGATGAAGGCAGATGGTGTATGGAGGTTGGTATTTTCATAACACCAAATCGAAATACTTGCTCTGACAACAACAAAGTAAAATACTGGGATCTTATTTATCTGAAAAGCCTTATGACTGTTAAGAATAATTCATCTTGGGTTATACAGTCAGCCAATCTTCATTTAAAACAAAAACAAAACCAGAAAAAAAACACACAGGAAATTTGGAGCATCTGGCAAATTTAGGTGCTGGCTGCTGAGTGGCTTTGGTGCTCCCCACCTACACAAGAGGGGCCTTGACTTCACCTGGCTTCTGTGGAGCCAGGGCCGGGCCAGGTTACCTGGTGCTCTCTCCTGCTGCCAGAGGCAAAATTCACCCGGATGGAGGAGCTTGAGGGGCAGGGCAAGGGCAGGTATCTGAGGGAAAATGCCAGTAATACAATGCCAGGAGGTCACTGTTTTTCATTCATCCCAAGTTGACACACGCCCCACCAGCATTTTAATGTCTCTGACATCAGAATTCATTTTACACTTGACCCCATCTGAGAGCTGTGTTGGGGTTTGATGGGATTTTTTATTTCCTAGTGGTACATGAAACAATGGTGCATACTACATTGAATTCTGTCTTTTAAAAAGTATTTATTTATTAAACCGATTGGGGTGACATTGGTCAATATGAACTTATAGGTTTCAGGTGTTACAAGATCTGTATATTGCACTGTGTGCCCACCACCTAAAGTCAAATCTGCTGTCACCTTATATTAG